ACTCCAGGAACAGAGCTCCAAGATCCACCTTCAAATGAAAACTTCATTAAAACTGTTTGCTCACTGCAAACAGGCTTTTCTTTCCAAGTTAAGCTCCCAGTACTCAGCTGCTCTCAGCAGCAGACTTTAACTTTTTATATCAACACTTAAATAGGCTAAATTAATTGTGTTCTTTTACAAATATGTTTTTCAGTTTAGCTGTTCCAAGATCATAACATTTTGTATACAAAAGTGGGACTGTCCTAGACTAAATAAAGATTTTGCAGGTCTTTATTTAGTCGTAGGACAGACTGACAGGTTAGTGCGTAGTTGTGTGGTGGTTTGGAACATTTCCTTGTCATGTCCACAGACCTGTGTGTTGGATGTTTGGGGATTTTTCTCCTCCTCCGTCATTGCAGGGTGTGACCGGCAGGTGCAGGCTGCACAGCTGCGGCTCATTAAGGCTGATCAGGAGGAATTTAAACAGGAGCTGCTTCTCTAAGACAAACGGCAGAGCGCTTTCCTCAAATGGATGGTAATCAGGCCCTCGTTTTCTGGCGGTCCTGCTTCCACAAAGCACTGACGTTAACTAAAATAGCTGAATCACCTCTTCGGCATGTAACTGAGTTTCACAGAGTCCTACTAATGATCGTATTATTCAGTTTAGAGGTGCTGAAGCAGAAATGCATTAGAATCTGCAGAACTGAAGTTTGACACCTGAAGTATAAGACAAGTCTGGAGTTCTTCAGGGAAAACGTCAATGTAGCAAAAAATATAAACCGTATATGCAATTAAAGGGGTGATATTATGTGTTCTCCCATTTTATAGCAAAATCTGAACCATTACACTGCATTTTTTAACAACTGAAGGTATCTAAAACTTAGCTTAAAATAAATTTGACTTTGCAATGAAATTGGACTCTGTCTCTTTAAGAAGCTCCGACTCTTTTTGACAGTCTGTCTTCACCACATCATCACAACAATAGTCATCCATTATGGTGTTTACAGTCAACTTATGAATGTTGGACATAGAGACACTCCAGGAATGTTTTTGATGAGAGAATATCAGAATGTGATATTATGCTCAAAGTTGATTCTACATAATACCTCATTTTAAATAAGAGCATCAACACTGGATCATTACAGAGTAAATGAAACCAAACACTGTGACCACTGGTTGATAGCACAAAGTTGACATCCTGTTCTTCATCCATGTAATTATTTTTGATGCCAACCCAACATTTATAAAAGTAACTCCTCTTTAACGCTTTCCAAAACGTTTAGGAATGTGTTTATGGAAACTTTGACTGTTCTTCCAAAAGCTCATTTGTGATGTTGGATGAGAAAGTTTTGTAGACCATAAAGTACTGTTTCTCCGGTAAGATTATTTCACTTGTTATATGTGGAAGATGTCTCATTCCAATAGTGATTATGTTCCTTATAGCCAGTACTTTTTCATCAATACTTGGGATTTGACTTAAAACAAGCTCCTATATCTTGCTGAAAAGTTACTTTTAAGTTAGCTTGGTATTATTTCAATTCTATGAAGGTAGTTGCACTAGAAACTAAACATAAAGTACTTGGTTAGTTCAGTGATGCACATGCGATGCCACCTTAAGAGACAAAACCGGCAGCCAAACACGCCAAACTCAAGAGAGACAAATGAGTTGATCCACAAGTGGGAGAGCCACCTGTTTATATCCAGAGGGAAACCCACTTAATAACCTGCAGGTGGGCTTGCAGCTCAGGCGCAACACTGAGGGAAGAGTGTGGGATAGAGAAAGAACAGCCAAGTGGCACAACTGCTACATTACCATAAGCAAAATACATTGGGGTTTTGGAAGGAAAACCCCCTAAACATTTCGCTTGTTCAGTTAAAAGTCGGGGAATTTGCGGAGTGTTCATTGAATGTGATTACAATCTTGGTAACGGATCACGAATTAGTTTCATCCTTTGCTCTGGCGAGACAATGATTTTCATGCAGAGCAGAATTATACAGCAGATGCGTTAAGATGTGAATGAGGTGACAGATTTGGGAGGGTTGGTATATTTCCTCCGTTCCCTCCTTGCCCCTGGCAGTTGTTGAGTTGGAGCCGTTTGCTTCTCATCAGTGAACAAAACTGACATGGGTAATGAGCTTCCTCATTTTAGCTTGGCAAACAGCTTTTTCAGGAAAGAAGGCGCTTTTGGCAAAGTCGCGGTGTGCAGTTGCTCCCAACATTATTGTCCCTGAACACCTCTGACACAATGAGCCAGTCTGAATACAAACACCAGATACACACACGGCATATCTTTTTCAGTGTGCCATTCAAGCGCTTTAAATCGTCCCACTCACTTTATCAAAACCATATTATTCAGTGTGTGCATAGTGTTGGTTTAAAAAAATACAGTATGTTCTAAAAAAAAATCCTCTATTTATTTACTTATTTGTTTGCAGTCAAGCTTATTTTTATAGCATATTTCAACAAGGAAAATTACTTTCTTCAATTGCTTCCTTTTTTCTAGTGGGAAGAAATGCTTTTAATCATGCAGAGGAAAAAATATCAACTTATATTGTTGATTTTACATTGTCTTAGATTTTTTATTTTTTTATTTCATTTTCACTCGAGACCTGACTTGAACTTGTCCCTCAAACTCAGGAACTTACTTAGATTTCTCTCCAAAATACTTGAAAAATAATGTGGATTTGTCCCTAAAGACTTCAGACTTTACTTAGAAAGTGACTTGTGAACGTGAGTCTAAGGGTGCGTTGTAAGTCAAACTCTAGTTCATTTGCCTAGAAAGACTGGTTCGTTTGGGTAGGTGTGAATGTGAAGTCAAACGCTGGTAACCATTCAACCGGGAACAAGTTTTTACAGTCAGTTTGGATTGTTTGAATCAGTTTAGTATGAAAAAGAACCTCAGCAACTGAAAATAGAACAAATGTTGCCATTTTGCTCCCCTATCAAACTTATTCACTAAAAGTCATGCATCTTCACAGCCCACAGAAACATGACGCAGATGGTTATAGTGTTTTTTGGGTTTGACTTTGTCGTCGTGTCTACAGCTGGACCTTGCCCGGTTACTGTTGGCAGCACACAGTCCCCTGCACTAACCCAAGCTGCACAGATGACTGTTTATTTGGGAGCTGAAGCTACACACATAAAACCAGTGAATGTTTTGGATTGGTGTGTGGATAAGATTCACCACAGATGCAATATGACAGAAGACATAGCTTCAGTAATCCAGGCAGGTTTGGGTTCACACATCTAGCAGAATCAACACCATGTTTTGAATCATCTGATAACAAACATCTAAACACCAGAATGTCTGAACACTTTTGAAAAAAACAACAACCAAAAAACCAAATAGATCTCCAACACATTAAATGATGAAAACATAATTGCTGTTATCAAGCCTATTAGAAAGTCTGATTGACAATGACAGCATGACATTTCTCCACTCAAGTGAAGCAGATGGAGCATAAAAGCAGACGTTATGTCTCTGTGTGGTAGCAGGGAAAGGCTACCATTAGCTCCACAGCAATGGAACAAGATGAGTTTGCATTATGGAGCTTTCAAAGATATTTTTGACAAACATTTTGTAAAAGCTGTAAAGGATTAAAATCACATCCAAGTATTTTAGCAAAAGACAAAACGGGAAACATTTAAATTAAACTGTAAGAAGTGGGCTTTTTACTATTTGCAAAGGGATAACAACACTACTATAGAAAAAAAGCTTTGATTATGAGAGGTTTCAAATAATATCAAGGACATAAAATAAATTGTAAAATAATGTAAGAACAGTCTGTGTCCTTATTTCTGAATTTGCTATATTTTTTTTCTGGTCCTTCTTTAAATCTCCAAGATGACTAAATATGTACTAACTGGTTGTTTGGGATGTATGCCAGAAAATAGCCTCTCCAGTCTTGGCAACAATAAAGTAAACAAGAGGATCATTTAATTGGAATCATGTGGTTTGGTCAAATGAGATTAAGGATCTGGGCCAAATCTGATTTTATAGCCCGTATGTGAACAATATATTTGTTTTATGGCAATCTAAATGGCATTTATTTCTGTTTTCAATTCAGACAAAGGCAGATTTGATGTGGTTATTAAGTCAAATGTGCATCTGACTGAAGTCTGAATGATTATTTCACCTTTCATAGAAGTTAGCATCCAAAGGAAAATCATGTAAAGAAAAGTTCCAGATTAATCAGACTGCACCAAATGCTATGCTTTTAATCATGTCATAAATATCAAGTGGTGTAAAGTTATCAAATTAAGCACTTCATTCCTGATGCCCGTGAAACTGAAAGAAAGCTGAAAAAAGGAGCAATCACAAACATCTTTATGTATTGTGATGATGCAGACATGGTAATACGTTAAGTACACATTTTAGTTTAAACTGCTAGAAGTGTTTCTACATTTACATCAATGTGTGTCGTTTATGAACACTTTTTTTCCTTAATGCCATGCAGACAGCAGCGGAGCAGACTGAGGAGAGACCCTTGAAAATAAGAACCCCAACACTCCATCGTTTCATTTACCACCATCACCACAAGGCTACAGGTGCATCAGGAAACACATAAGTGGCCCATAAATAATAGTTTCTCTCGTTTTTTGCTCAGTGAAACAGAATGACTAGATTAATTGTGAAAGTGCTCTCAGCAAGTCTTCAGCTAATTTATGAAGGAGATTTTTCTTACTGCACCAAGGTGGAAAAATTGTTCCACCACCAAAGAAGCCAGCGGAAGTAGCGGGAAGATTTATATACCACAATGTGTATTTTATACTTTTTGGGAAATTAGAAGTAAGTTCAGGGATGCTGCCTTGTCTGTTGCTTGGAACTCTGTTGATTTGCAGTCAGCTAGTCTGGAATGTCCCCCCCCTTCTCATGTGGTATCATTGAAAAGCCCTAAATGTCCTCTCCAGATACCAAAAGTAATTAATTCAGTAGAATGCAGGGGGTGGGAGATATTCAAGTTTAGAAATGTCCTCTACAGAGGACAAAAATGAACTACTGGTAGTCAGGAGCGCTTTCCTGAGGTTGGGATGGGAGCAGTAGAGGCGAAGCGGAACCTTTGTTTGGGGGACGTTGCTTCCGGGTTGGTTATGGGGCGGAGTTCCGGTTTGCCTCAAACGCAATGTGGATGCTAACGGCAGCGCTTAGGTGCTGACTTCTATTTTATTATCCTTCTGGTCAGTACACGGTGAAAACATACCAAAACTACTCTGTAAGATGTTTCCTTCTCATTTGACCAGTATATAGCTGTGTGTTAGGGTTTTGTGCACCGTTTTGCCAGTAGTTGTCAGTTTTATCAGGCGAGGGTAAAGTTGGCAGCCCGCGCTGCGAAAGTCACGCGAGATAAAGTGATTAGAAGACCGCGATATTTTACTAACTGGGTTTTAAGAGGTTTATTTTGCTTTTATTTGAAAATTATCCAATATTCATTGTGTACAGAGGTAGTTCATCATTCTGACTTGAATGATGCTCCAGGTACATGCTAGATAGCAAGTATTTTACCCAACAAGAAGGTCAAAGTCACTGCCACTCTAATCTTTTAATTTGATCAATACACATATTGTAACTGGAGGTAATTACATTTAGCACTGACACAGCCAGAGTCCCAACTTGAATCCGCTAGAAAACCTGTTGAATTTACAAAAGATTAGGTTGCTAACAAGGCGCCCTTTCGATCTTAAAGACATGAATATTATCACAAAAACATGGAAAGACAAACAAGCAAACAAACAAACAAAAAAGAAATAAACACAGTAGAGGAGACCTGCATTGAAATAATGAAGGAGAATCTGTTCTGCTTTGAGTGGCAGATGCAAAGGAAATCCATTTACCAAAACATCCAGTCTTTGTTGAACCTATTTAATTTGTATTATTATTTATTTTGTTACAGGAAAGGTCAAGAAAATGTCAAAACAGAATTTAACTTGCGTAGAAATTTTTTTATTTCTTCCAGGAATTTAAATTTTCCTCACACCGCTTTAATAAAATGACAGACTTGAAGGGTTATGCAACCTTGACAGCGCTATCTGTTTGAGTACTTTATAGTGTTAATCAGTAATCTGTTTAATTTCACAGATCTGTGGTCAAATCTGCTGAAGGAGTCTGGCACATCCGCACAGCCAGTGTATCAGCATTGCATGGAAGGAGAGCTTCAGGGAACGATGCCCCACTAAACTCAACACTTCTGACATTTAGCACCCCGACATGTCAACTGGTTGAACAGGTCAGATCAAGATTTTCTTTAAATTTAATTACTAAAAACATTACTGCAGTAATGACGGTAACTTATACATGTATAAAGTGGTTTCAAGAAATAAAAAACAAAACAAATAACTGTTTTTTTTCCACCGCTATTAGAAAGGAAGCCAATAAAAAGCCATAGCAGTCATAAAATATTTGATGACTCACTTAGTTAGACTACATTACATGGTAATAGCTGTGTCGTATTTGGTTTGGTAACACCATTCCCATTTGCATCCCTCCAGGCAGCTTAACTTGTTTTGAGAATGGCAAACATGGAGTCCCTCGGGGCAGATCCCACAAAGGAAATGGCCTGTGTCTGTTTGTGTTTGTAAGACACAAAAAAAGGAGAATGGAGTGAATGAATTAGGGGGAAGAGAGCTCAGGCATCGCTGAGTCTGAACAGAACGCCGAGCATATGGCTTTGAGTCATTCAGTGGTGGAAAGAGAAAGGTGCTTTTCTTGATTTAATGAAGTGGTGCAGACAGCACTGAGTGTGAGACAGGCTGCTATTTAAGGATTCCTGTTAGTCACAATTATGTATCCTGCCTCAGAACATGAGAGTGAATTTAAAAACAGCTCAATAAAGCTTTTGTTAATTTTTTATTATGACTGTCTAGTTGGGTTTTACTAATCTTGCAGTATTTCCTGAATGAAACAAGATTCTTTTATACTTTTTAAATCACGAGGCTGATGTGTTTTGGCATTTAGATGCTTTTTTAAATAGAAAATACACGCTTCCTTTATATTCCAGAGACAACTCTAGAAAAATGGACATTTGTTAGGGTGAACCTTTCCTTTTAAAGCGAGATGGTAACTTTAAGAGGGGAGCAAGGTGATAGCTGAGTCATGGTGGTATTCAATGTTTAATGCACATGTTTGTGCTCCTGCCTGCAGCAGCAATATCAGTGATAGCGACAACATTCTGCACCTCAACAAAGGCAATCCGCACTCATGTAGAGCTGACATCCGTTTATTTATTTATTTTTTGTTCATTTTGATCATTATGACCTACGGATGTCAGTGTATGAAACATTTTAATATTACAAGTCACTAATTACTTCTCAGCTCTACATTTTGGTCATTACTCCTTGTAAAGTCAGACATTTTTGATGTTTGTAGGAGTTGGTATCAAATAAGTACAGGATAATAATAACAGTCATAATCCCAGAGGCATTGAAAAGGAGGAACAAAGAGAAGAGAAGGAGAAAGTTCAACCTGTTCCTTCCATTGATCATAACGGGCAACTTATACTGCCTGGTCACGTCCCCTACTCCAGCATCTCTCTGCCCAACTTTCTAACCACACATAAAGAGGTGCAACAAAAGCAAATGAGGTGGATTAGCAGTCTTCAGTCAGAAGAGTCGTTGCAAGACTGAATGCTGCCAGAGATGCTTGTTTCCCTCAACATCACCATCCAAAATGACTGAAGGTCTTTGGATAATATCTCTTTAGGACAAATAAATCAATCAATTTTATTTATATAACACATTTCAGCAACAAGGCAGTTCAAAGTGCTTTACATCAGAAAAACACAAAAATACAAAGTTATAGAATACACAGTCAATTGTCAAGAGCCATCGTTAAACATCAAAATGTTGAATAATGTTTCATTGATTATGTTTCAAAAGCAACTCTAAACTTTTAGATTTGAAGGTATGCTTTTTTTGCAGTTTTCTGGGAGTTTGTTCCAGATTTGTGGTGCATAGAAGCTGAATGCTGCTTCTCCATGTTTGGTTCTGGGAACCAGAAGACCTGATAAATAAAGTAAATAATCTGAATTGAATGAAATAAACCCCAACATGTGAACAGCCAAACCACTCACTGTTTGTTAAATGCACGTTTCTCCTTCTGACTCTGTTCGGTTATTCAGTTTTTTTGTGTAGCGTTTTTGATTTTCCAGTTCATGTGTCCAGGCTCCGCACCTCCCTGCCAAAAAAGGAAAAAACAATTTCATAGCTTTGCAAAATGATTCCACATTTCAAACGAATGCGAACATTTGACAGACTGGTGTCTGGTTAGATGTGAAAAAGATTTTCTTTGACTTACTTTGCACTGCCTCTGGAATGAAAAGTTCTGGATTGCTGAAAGGACATTTCATGAAGGAGAATCATTTCTTTGAAACTTGATTTAAAGACATTTGATTCAGAAACTTACCTTCCTGCTTTTATTCTTCTGTAAAACTTTTACAATGTCTGATATTTTCTAATACTTCTCAATGCTAACCTTCTCTTGGACAATAATTAAGACAACTTTGAGAGGATTCTGTTTAGTGTCAGACTTATTAAGTTATGGCCATTTAAATGAGATTCAAGTAAGCCTCAGTATGGCAGTGTCACTGCTGGAGCACAAATCATTTTATTTATATATATTTATATATATATATAAATCCCTTGGAAAATCAGGGCAATTTCCCCCGTACTTGAAATAAATGGGATTTGATACCCATACTGTATGATGCAATTAGCCACCTGTGGCCTTCATATCAAAGCTATCAGTCATTATTTCCCTGACACAGTTCCAGCAATAACTCAATATCTGAAGCTTTTGATTTGCTATCATGCATGATTTTGCCTTTAACAAAGCTTCACAGAACCAAACCAATTAAACAATCCCCATTCCTGTGGTTTGCTTTAATTCTTGGTTTCGTTATCGTCTGACTTTGACTACACATCTTTTCAGAGTTCAGTAATAGATGGTGCGTTTGCTCGGTCGTCTCTGTGTCAAGGTCAGCCTCTGCTGCCGCCGCACAATTAGTGGGGTTAACGAAGCTGTCTGGCAAAGAAATGCAGTTTCACCCACTTAGACCAACACCACCCTGCAAAGCTAACATGCTAACTGAGCCAACACTCAGCTGCTGCGGTGACAGTTTTCCTCCTGCTTCACATGACGACAGACGAAGTGGCTCATTTTAATTTAATCATAATTAGCTCTACAATCCCTAACCTTCCGGTGGGGTCGGAGTTGAGGTGTTATTGGAAACCGAGGCAAAGCGAACTGGAAAGTCTTAGCATAACAAACTGGCTAATGTGTATTCATTCGTTTGAGCCAAAGCAGATTGTTCCGTGGCGACAACAATAGAGGAGTTTATTCAAAAGACGCCTTGACAGCTCGTCTTTGCTGCATCACGACAGCGCGCCTTGCGTGACTCAGTAATTGAATGCTGTAAACAAATTGGCTCCCAACCAAACAATGCTCTGGATGCCTGACTGTCCGGTTAATAATCATGTTTTCCTGCTTTTCAACTCCACTTGTCATTTTGATTTGTTAAGTGACTTACGAGGAAGCTAAGATGTAGATTTTATGAACTCACTGAATTGAGTGGAGTAGAGTTGGCTGAACTCCTCACACCCTCCTCATTACTCCTTCAGTGTAGTTCAGGTCTATGTTGTTCTTGCTGTTGAAAATTCCCTTTAGCAAGACGCCACAGGCAGTACAGGGTTTTATCCAGCCTATGTAGTTTTAGAGTAGCGCTCTTTCTCCCCCACATGTTGCTGTGTCACTCAGCTGTGTAGCCAATGGAGAGGAATAGCTATAAAAATTTGGCTCTTGTCAAGACAAGTACCTGTCATTATTTTTAAGTTAGTGAGAGTTTAACCTTAAATTTGCAAACAGCTGCAGGGGGAGAGCATGTCTCTCAGCACAACACAAATCCATCTGCAGCTTCACTAATGGTGGGGATTGCTTCTTGGCTAAACAAAGCTCACGTCAACCTTTCCTTATAAAGAGCAGAGTGGCACAACAGAGTTAACATTCAATGCAATGAGTATGTTTTCTAAATTTAGCTGGAAGGCTTTTTTTTTCCAATGGACCCCAGTGTTCATAGGGGTAAGGTA